GCGCTGCTGGGTAGGGAACGGCTGCGGTGGCCCTGGTTGCCTGCCTGTTGTGGGGGGGCCCTGGGAGGCAGCGCGGGGCTGGGGCTCAGGCCAGCGCCTGAACGCTCCGGTTTATCCCTAAACAGCTCCATAAAAGAGGGCTGGACCTTGTATTAGTGCTGTGAAGCCTGCGCTGCTGCGTGCTGAGGGCCGGCGTTTCCTGCTTCCCTGTCGGAGCAGATGTGGGTCAGGCTCCTCCGGCTCCTCCTCGGCTCTGCTGGCAGCCGGGAAGGGATGGCGAGGCTACCTGCCGCCCGGCCACCCTCTGCCCACGTCGTTGCCATCTCAGAAATAATTTTGGCTTTGAGGTGCAACAGAAAGAGCTAATTTTAACACTTCCAACACCCCGCGCGCGCATTCCCGCTCGCACGCATCTGGTGCTGCGAGTGGGAAGGGTTTGCTCCTTCCTGGCTCTCCCGCGTTGCCAGGCCGGGGACGGAGCAGGGCTGTCCCCAGGGCGTAGACATCAAAGCCTTCATGTGCCCTTTAATTTTCCCCCAAATAGCTGGTCCCTCTTGGAGCAAAGAGTTGCCAGGGGGAAGAGGGATTTGTTTTCCTGCCTCACCTTTGTCCCTCTGTCCTGCAGGTGCCAGTGTCCGAGTCCCTCTCGGTGTATGTGTGGTAACAACATGTCTGTCCCCCTCCTCGCTGACGCAGTGACTGTCTCAGGGGCAGAGCGAGAGACTGCTGCGGTAAGGGCTGGACCCTTCCTTCCTCACCTGCTTCTTTCCTTGTAGCAGTCTTGAAAATCAGGAGCTGCTTCCGTGGGGTTCGGAGGAGCCATGAGCAGAGCCCGTGATCCCTCAGCTCTCCGGACATCCATCCTGGTGCAGCAGAGGGGATGCGGGGCCAGCAAGGTCTCATCTTGCTGGGGAGAAGTAACTGTCCTTTGGGCTGGGCTCTTTGTCGCTGCTGCTTGGTCCAGTGTGGAAGCACGGGCAGAGCCTCGCAGCGGAGTCAGTGGGAGTTGGATCTGAGTTGGCTGTTTAAGCTTTTAAAAGCAAATCCCCCAAAGAAAATCCTCTGTCGTTCCCTGGGGCCCGGCAGGCTGCCTTCCCTCTGCCACCTGTTGCTGAGGGGCTGCCCTAACCCCG